GGTTTTTGGCTGTTGTGAACTTTGCTGCTAAGCAAATGATCTCATCAGGTCTGTGATGTGTGAGTTTCTCTTGATTGTGTAAGTAGGAATGGAATTGCTTGGCTATAGCCATGGGCATGTTGAGCTTTGGTAATGCAAAGTGTTTTCTTAAATGTTGTACCTATTTGTACTCTTACTAGTAGCGGGTGAGAGCTTTCTGTGTCTTCACCATTTGCATCATTCAACTTTGATATGTGGTGAGCCTGGTGGGTGTGAAATGGTAACTCACTGTGGCTTTAAGTTGCACTTCCCTGGTTACTAGTGAGAGTAAGTTCATGTTTTTTTAAATTTTTATTTTAATTTTATTTTTTTTAATGTTTTGAGACAGAGACTCAAGCTGTTGCTGTGGGTAGAGTGCTATGGCATCTCAGCTCACAGCAACCCCCAACACCTGGGCTCAAGTGATTCTCTTGCCTCCGCCTCCCAAGTAGCTGGGACTACAGGCACCTGCCACAACGCCCAGCTATTTTTTGGTTGCAGCCGTCATTGTTGTTTGACAGGCAGGGCTGGATTTGAACCCGCCAGCTCAGGTGTATGTGGCTAGTGCCTTAGCCACTTGAGCCACAGGTGCTGAACCTGCTGTTCATGTTTTATTTGTCTGTCTTCTTCATGTATATTTTGCACATTTTCTGTTGATTTTTTAGCCTCTTCCTTGTGATATGCAAGATTCTTCCTGTAGTGTGGAAGATTCTAATCTTTTGTTGATCATGTATATTGCAGATATCTTCTTCCAGTTCATAAATTGGTTTTTTTATGCTTCTCTAAACTGAAATTTAAAAAAATGAATTCTCCTATTTGATCTTCTAGAATTTATTTTTTATTTATTATTATTTTTTTGAGACAAGAGTTTCAGTATGTTGCCCTCTGTAGAGTACTATTGTGCCACAGCTCACAGCAACCTCCAACTCTTGGGCTTAAGCAATTCTCTTGCCTCAGCCTCCCAAGTAGCTGGGACAACAGGCACCTGCCACAACGCCCAGCTATTTTTTGTTGTTGTTGTTATTTAGGTGGCCCAGGGTGGGTTCAAACCCGCCACCCTCAGTGTACATGGCTACCATGGTAAGCACTGTGCCATGGGCACCGAGCCCTAAAATTTTTATAGTTTTGGCTTTACACCATTTACTTTTTAAATGGACTTAAAATTATTATTTTTTTGGTGAATGATATGAGGTAAAGATAATTGCAGTTTAAATGTGGATAACCAATTGTCTCATCCACATTCATTAAACAGTCCATCTTTTCTCCATCTCTCTGCTGTGATAATTGTCAAAATCAAAATGGATTCGCTTGTGTTAATAAAAGCTTCTGCCTAGTAAAGCCAGGAAGGCCACAAGAAAAGGGTTCTCCTGCTTGAATACTTATAAGATTATCACAAAATACCGTGCCAAGACCAAATAAAGGCCATCACAATCTTACCCCCCAAATACACGTGCAAGAGCATGTGCTGGCCCTGCCTGCTCAGTCTTGGACTGGCATTACTCTTGTCACTGGTCCTCGTAGCCAAGGATAATTATCTCAAAAAAATTATGTAATCTTCCTCATTTTTCCTTTAAAAACCTTTATTTTTTTGTTAATGATGGCATGCATATTCTCCATGGGGATGCCCTATTCTCAGATAAATGTTATTGTTGTTTAGAGAGCCTCTGGCTGTTACTCCGGTTGACACCATAGTACCAGCTCTGCTGTGATCGTCTGTGTGTCATGTGTGGGTTTGTTTTTGGTCATTGTGTCTATTTGTGTTGTGATGTCACACTGTCTGATCACAACTTGTAATGAGACTTGCCAGCTTCTGCTTCTTCTTGGTAATTCTTAGCTTTCTGCCTTTTCATTTTTAGATTCAATTATCTTGCTTGGTTTTTCAAAAATTTCTGTTGAAATTTTGAGAAAAAGTATGGACTCTATAGATCAGTTTGGGAAAAATTAGCATCTTTAAGATTCATTTTTATGGCGATGAGGATGTCCAATCCAGGGATGTATCTGGAGCATCATTTATTCCGGCCTGTAATATTCACATTTTCTCCGTATATGTTTTGTCATTTTTTTCTGGAAGCACCTCCATTTTTTATGCTGTCTCCTCGTACATTTTCTACTTGGTTTTTGCTGACTTAAAATAACATTTCCTATTTCTATTTGTATCCAGCAACCTTACTAAAGTCTTGTTAGTTGTAATTATTTGTAGATTATTTTGGCAGGGGTATGACGTTAACATAGGTATTAGTTGAGGACAAATTTGTTTCTTCCTTTACATCTCTCTGTCTCTCTGTCTTTTCTGGCGAGGGCTTTCAGAACAGTGCTGAACAGAAATGATAATGGGGCTGGCGCCTATAGCTCAACCGGCTAAGGCGCCAGCCACGTACACCTAAGGTGGCGGGTTTGAATCCCCAGCCCGGACCCGCCAAACAACAATGACGG